CCGTGGACAGAGTGTAAACATTAATCTCACGCAGCAGCCGGGTTCAAATGATACTGTATTAATAAAAGCTGTCGTCTCCTGTTCGCCGCCGCTTGACGACAACAATCAGCGATTTGATGTTAAGCGATAAAGGCTCTACGATGCTGCGTGCTGTTTATCCCGGCGTGGGCGTGCGTGCGTGTGTGCGTGGGTGCGTGGGTAGCTGGGTGAATTGGATTGTGGGATTTTAGCCGTAGTGCTACGGGACGGCGGGCGTGTTAAAAATGCGCGGCCGCGTCCCCAACCTGGAGCCGGCAGCCGCGGCTTTCATCCGTTGACTTATTTACTTCTAAATGACACTCGTGCCTGGAGATAAATCATAGTCTTATGCCACTCCCTCCCCAGTTTTCATTTTAATTGTGAGATCTGGGTGTCAGCAGTTAGTATATTGGTGTGAGTGGCCTATTGATTATTGATTTGCGGCCATCGATTATGTCCCCTGGAGACCCTAATCCTTTCTGATTCATTTGAATACCTCTATTAATCTTGAGATCCTCCTCACACCTGCAGCGCCGTGTACCCTAATGAAAATAGATGGCCGTTCTGTAACGGAGGCTCCTCGCCACTCTTTTGATTTATTATTTTTAATTGATATATTTGCTTTTGGATGTGGACGCCAGAATTACAATTGACCCCGTGTCAGCGCTGTTTTACTCGCTGCCGTCAGGGACCGCGCTGCATCTAAAAGCGTCTTATTTGACCTGAAAAAATCCATCTTGGAGACTGTTTTTTTTTTTTTTCTTCCTTCGATGTCCTTGTGTCTTTGTTTACGTCCAGTTGTGTAACACGGTGCTCATTACTTCTTTCATCACTCAGTGCTCCTAAGTCGCTCCTCGTTTTCTTATCAAAGTTAAGTTTGGAGACAAAACATCTGCTGAGTTATTAGAACTGATGAGGTGGCAGATGTTAAATAATAAGAAAGTTTTGTTTTTTTTCTTCAGTTTTCCACTCAGTCATGTAGCGTTCTTCCACAGACTTTCGGCTTCAGCCTGAGGGCGAGTGCTGCTGTTTTGCCTGGGTTAATGATCCAGCTGACGGCGAGCTCTTGTTTGATCACGATGGTGTCACCCTGGGCCCCTGGTGGCCCCTGGTGGCCCCTGAGCTCCCAGCAGCAGCGGAGGGCCCCTGCGGCACCCGCCTGCGGGGCTCCGGAGCCCCGGGGTGCCCCGGCGGTGGTGTAATGATGGGGGGAGACACAGAGGGAAGGACCTGGGCACATTAAGACCTAATGCATCAGGGTATTACTTTTAATACCGCAGGCGTGCCTTGTGAAATAATGCAACGTTTAAACGGGCATTGATTTTGGAATTAAAAAGTTAGTTTGCAAAGATTTACTGTGGGGAGTTCGATGCCTGAGCTTTTTATCAGGGGCGCAAATGGCTGGTTATGTGCTATCCGACAGAGGTACGATCGGGGGATCGATAGGCACGTGATTTACTAACTGGAGTACAGCTAATCAATAAGTATAAAAGTAAATGAAATATGCATTACTGGGATTTTATTAGAGAGGGGCAGCAGGGAGAGAATAACGGTCAGGCCGTTTATTTTTATATCTATTGATTATACAACATAGAGACTTCGCTCAATGCGCGCCCTGCGCTCGACAGCTCTCGACGCCCCACGCCTGCAGACCGTCATGTGATTTATGGGTGTTGAGGTCATGGAACACGCTGCCTGTTAAGAGGCTGCCCTGACAGGGCCCGGTGGTAGAGCCTGCCGGTCAGAGCTGCCGCAGAGCAGAGCTGAGTGGAGTGAGATGACGCAGACTGGATAACAAGGATCTCAGCTGCTGCAACAACAGCCTTTCATTATCACCGTACACAAACAGTGACACCTACAGACTCAGTGGAACGTGCCCTCTGCGTTTAAACCACCAACCCACTCCTGTGGTCTGTGGCAGTGATAATCAAATGGCGGCTCGTGGGGCAGAATCTGGCGCGGCACAACCTTTTGATGATGAGATTCATGTGATATTAAAACTAAACAGCTAACAGAGCTAATTAATTAGTGGGTCCTCACCTTTAAAAACTAAAAATGTGGTGCAGTGTGACTCAACACGCGGCCCGCGGGCTAAATGCTGCCAAAACATCTAATCCGGCCTGCGACTTTAAATAAAAATGTTGGACAAAAATGTCATTTTTATTTCATTTTATTTGAGTGTCCGACCTCCAGGATGTTAGTCCAGAAAAATTCTCCCCCTCCGACAAACACGGTTAGTGACCCCTGCTGTAGAGCTTTTAAACTGCAACAGAACAAAATATATATATATTTAAGAAATATACTGTAGAGCTTTTAAACTGCAACAGAACATCAAATATATATATTTAAGAAATGTACTTAAAATGTTTTTTTAAGCAGTTATTTTCAGTGCGTTGACTTCCTGCCCTGTGGTCCAGGGCGTGTCCAGACCTCACACATCGACTGCTGTGATTGGCTCTCTTAGCTGGACTGTCTCCCCCCCCGCCCCCCCCCTTTAGCATTCATCCTATTCAGAACTGTTCACACTGTCAACTGTGTGTATTGATGGAATGGACCTTGACCTTAACGTCACATCTCCATAGTCAGGGCTGTTAAGCTGAATGGGTTGAGGAGGGGTGGGGGGGAGGTGGAG